AGCAGCATCAGGTCCCACTTGCCAAGCCTTTGTCACAGTCTCCAGCAACCATTCCTCTGGCCATCTGCTCCTCCAGATGCTCAGCCTGTCCTCACCTCCCATCTCAGCCCCACATGTAGCCCCTCCATGGATGAGTGAGGGGCCAGCAAGCCAGCAGCCTCCAGCCTGACTACGCCATCTGCCTCCCATCCCCACGTATGCTTCCAGCTTTGCTTTTAACCCAGATTCTGCAGCCCCCATCCCCAGCTTGTTTGCCCCCACCAATCCGGTAATTTCTAGGGAAGGATGCTGCCTGGAAAAGATGGACAAGTTGCCATGGAGATTTGAGTATACACAGGAAGCCACGGATCCATCTCACAGCCAGAAGTACAAACGAGTTTGACATAAGTTTAGTTCAGCCCTAAGGTTTAGTTGGTTTGGATTGCACTCCTTTTCTTTGGAAGTCAGTGTCTTAGGGGGAAGTTTAAAGCCAAGTGTTGCCACAGCTGAGTGTTGTCATGACATTCCCCATCCCATCTCGGTCTCTTGGATCACAGGCAACATACTGGGAGGAACTGGAGGTCTGCCCCAGGCCTGTGCTCTGAGTGTCCTAAGGGGCTTGCTATATCCAGACCAAAAGTCTAACACCTGCCGTTGCATCTGAAGGATGGGTACATTCACATTCACAGGGAGAGAAACTGCCCCAACCCACCCCTCTGTCAGGTCCTTAGAGACCATGTGGAGAGCTAATCACCCCTGCCTGAGAACAGAGTGATTCTAATGTGCCCCACCTCCCATTCTTTCTTTCTTCTGGATATCACGAGTGTCAGGGGAGGAAGCTTGGAATTGATGGCTACATCTTTCCTGTCTGTGGCTGGGGGCACAGGAGGCTCCTATTCAGTCTCCAGGTAATGCCAGATGGTGGGCAAGGGTAGGAGGGTCATAGAGGTGGAATACTGTGAAGGAATATTCCCTGCCCTGGGATGCATTTCTCTGGGTCCCAGAGGAGAGGGGGCATACTTTTGGCATTACTTCTAATGCCACCATAGGCCAAGTGAGAACTCTGCTTTGTAATGAATGTGGAGAACAATTCACCGTTTCTTCACAGGGCTCTGCTGACCTTTTGGGCAGGTCCTGCCCATCGCATTGCACTTATTATCCCTGGCCCCTCTCCACCAAAAGCCTTGCAGTCATTGAGACAACCAAAAATGCCCAGCGACTTTTCAAACATCTCTTGGGGAACACTGCCACTCCCAGTTTTTGCTTCCAGGAAATCAGATTGCGACAGACTAATCTATACTCTGAGACCAGGACCAGACAGAGCTCTCTTTTGTCCTGATTAATTCATATTAATGCAAATAAAATTCTATTTGTCTATTGCCTTAGCTTATCAACTTGGCGATTTTCTTTGTCATACCTCATGGCTTTTCACTGTCTTCTGATATTTCCCCATTTTGTTTACAGTTCTTCAACATGAGTTCTCTTGTCAAGGGAGTTTTCAAGTACCTAGGCCATGAGGATGGGTGACTAACACATGAGGCATGCCTCCCCACCCCTGAGAGGCTTGCATCCTGGTGATGGAGGGCCACAGAGTAATTGCTATAGGACTCTAGAAAAGGGAGTGTAAGAGAAACGGCCTTTAAGTGGAGGCTTTGGCCCTGTGGCCCTGGAGATGCCAGAAGTTAGACTTACTGCTGTAGCTGGCCGGTCCAAGGGAACAGACCCTCTGGTTTTGTCCATGTGACTTGCTTCCTCCTGGTAACTTACCGTTAGAGCTCCTATAAACCAATGGCCGAGTCAGTGGTTCCCAAGGTAGAAAGAGAGATCCCTCATGTCAAAAGTGTCACCTTCCAAAGTGTACAGAGAATGCAAAGAAGAGAGTCAGATTGCAGCTGAGACTCCTGTCCCCTTTGCTGTTAGTTGCTACTTTCCTGTGGATGAACCAGACAGACCCTCCTTTTCCTTCTCTGTGGCTCATCATTCTTTTTCCCCACTGTTTCGCCATGAAAAGGAGCAATGCTCTGTTCATTTTGCTGCTTATTGGCGTGGCTAGTTTTTTCAGAGGATGAGACTGTTGGTTAAAATTAGACTTTTGGATTCTTGATCGTCTATTTCGTCTTCCACCCACTCACCAGGGGTATAATCAGGAATTGCCTACGGGCATCTTGATTTCTCCTTTAAATCCTTCAAGTTTGATTCTAACAGCCTGTGCCGTGAACATTCTTGCTTATTTAATTTTTTTTTAAACTTCTAAATTTTTTTAAAACATTTCTAAAAATTGAATTATAATCATTCGTTTCAGATTTTAGCTGCCCCCCTTCCTATCTCTGAGATCAGCAGCTCCTTCACAGTTGGTATGATTTTGACTGTTTTTTTTTTCCTAAGTAGATATAGGAATTTATGGAACTGTATGTCTTAGATATGGGGGTAATCACAGAATCAAAGGAAGATCTGTAGGAGCTGGGACCTCAGGACTGGACAGAGGAGCCCTATGCCTCCAGGACACGCTCTCCTTTCTCACCTCCCTCGCCCCTCAGCTCTTCCTCCTGCTGTGTCCAGTCCTTTCCCTGCTCCAAGTAACAGCTCCACAGTGCTGTTTAGCAGCTCTGTGCAAACAGGGCTCTCTGTATCCCTCTGTTGATTATTTAATAATTGTAATCACTTCCCACAAAAGAAGAACCACTTAGCTTAACAAGCTTTGTGCACTCTTGGTGGTTGATGTTAACAAGGGAAAGATCACATGGGGTCTTTGTGTTCCCTTCTCAGGATGTAAGGCTCGGGGAGACTGATGGAGTTAGAACAGAAGTGGTGGAGTGTCAGACTCAGCAGATCCCTTAGGAATTAAATGTCTTATTAGTAGCCACAGTGTCTGGAGATAATTACATGGATGCATTTATGTCAATTAAGACAGTGCATATTTTAATCTATTCTAGATTTTCCTCCGTTCCTCTCACCCTGCCTCCCTAGTTACTGCTAATTGAGTCAGTAATACCCAGAAAAATATCTTCCTCTGCTTTAGAATGCAGAAAGTGGTAGATTAATGTCCCCTTATTCTCAGAGGTGAAAAGTGCTGTATAATAAGCCTGCTCCTTCCCCATTTCTCTCTCATTAACAGTTTTCACACCATGTAGTTATCTTGAATCAGGTCTTGTCTGACAGTGTCCTGGTGTATGTGCCTGTGGCTTCCTAGAGCAGGGGTGAGACTAGAGGTCATCTTGCCTGGTGGCCTCTAAGTGGGGACACATCCACGTCACTGGAGAGCATTCCAGAACAATCGTGATCAGGCAGACATCTCACTGTCCACCACACAGCTACTCAGTGAGCAGGCCACGCTTGCGTCTGGCAGCAGTAAAGCATATTCCAAAGCGACGTCAGAGAGAGCCGTGGATGGGGAGACCAAAGGTAGCAGCCAGATCTGAGCATTAAGAACAGACCCTGGGGCTGGCAGGAGAGAACAGGAGGAGTCAGAAATTCATTTCTCTAGATCAAGAGGACAATGACCGTGACTTCCAAAGCCGTCTCAGGAGATTCACAGCAGGGTCTCCATAATAAGTAAGCCCTCTTGCTGGAGACTCGCCCTCCAATTTAGTCCTTTTTGCCTGTCATGCACTGCATTGGCTGCTGCCACTGAGTCATTCGGAGTTCTGTTTGTAATTGGAACACAGCTGAAATTAGGGTGCATGTGACCCTAGACATGTGTGGGTTTCTGGAGGATATTCAGAAAATATCTCCAGACCCTTTGCTCCCTCTTTCTTTGTGTCTGTGGATTAGGCAGAGGTGCTTATCAGAAACCCTGAGGCCCTGCATGTCCAGCTGCTGTGCTGTACCTGGTTCTCATTCTGAACACACAGTCCCTTGGGGCAGTCCCCGTACATGTGCTGTTGGGGCTCACACACTCCAGGCACAGCACAGCAACTTCATGTGGGAGGGGCTTCCAAAACAGCCAGTGTTGAAGAATAAAGCCTTTGTTTGCTTTATGAAATCCCTAAGGAAATCTTAAAAGCAGAAGTAGTAGTACAATGAAGAGCTAGGAAGGACGAGCGGAATTCTTTATTGTGATGCCGTAAAATGTCCCTCTAGCCTTGAGTATTTCAGGCACGCTGATGCGCTTCATCTTCATTGCCGCTGTGTGCCGTGGGTGAAGTGTGGGCCTGAGCTCCGATTCCAGCAGTGGGCTCGGCTCACACTGATTGTCCTACACCCTTGTTATGAGATTGCTCTTTTTAGTATGTCAGGTTTAGGGGGTGGTTGGCTGGCTTCCCGGGATCAATGTAACTGGGCCAGAGGATCGTGCTGATCTTGCCCTAATTCCGTGGAGGTGTATAGACTAGTTATCATGGACAGCAGTTTAACGTTCTTGCACCTATGGGTTTACATGCAGAAAACAAGTGCAGGTGGGAGGGCTCCTAAATCCTAACTGGCTTCAATGCTTGTATCCCACATCTCAGAGGGAAGCCCTTGCATTTGGTTCCACCTCAAAGAGACAACTTGAGGCATGTCACTTCTTTCCTTAGACTAGAATGAACATGTTTCAGGAATAGAGTTTTGTTTTGTCTTGTTTTGCTTTGCTTTGTTTTGAGACAGGATCTTGCTCTGTCACTCAGACTGGAGTCCTGTGGTGTGATCATGGCTGACTGCAGCCTCAAACTCCTGGGCTCAAGCAATCCTCCCACCTTTGCCTCCCGAGTAGCTGGGACTACAGGTGCGCATCATCGTGCCTGGCTAATTTTTAACATTTTTTTTTTTTTTTTGTAGAGACACAAAATAATTTTGTATTGCCTAGGCTGGTCTTGAACTCCTGGGCTCAAGTGATCCTCCCACTTTGGCCTCCCAAAGTGTGAGATTATAGGCATGAGCCATCATGCCCAGACAGGAATTGAAGTTTTGAGAGCTGTTTAAATAATGACTTGGTTCAGACTCTGTGGGGAGGCATCCAGGGCTGGTGACAGAGAAAGCTGGATGACGTCTTAGCCCCATTTTTTCCACCCTTGTCATGAGACGCCTTCTTATCTTCCCCGTAGGCCCGATACCTCTCCACACAATCTCGCCGTCGATTTCACGCTGTCCTTGCGTCTTGTTCCACCTCGATGCTGATTCTGTCCAACCTGGTGTTTCTCGGGGGCAATGAGGTTGGGAAAACCTACTGGAATAGGATCTTCATACAAGGTAAGTTGCTTGACAGTGCTGTTTTCATTCAGTTTCTTGTTTTCCATGTATGCAGATGGGATCACACGTAAGATTCGGGAGAAGTCATTCATTGTTATATTCATGGTATGTGACCTCTAAGTACCAGCCAGGAGTAATTTTCTGTGTTTATCCATGACTTTAAGTGTCCCCTGTTTTTTAGGTACCCCATATCTCCTGTATGTGATACTTGTTTAACACCAAAAGGTACTATCCAAACTCTCCCAAAGTATATATTCCCTTCCATTATACTATGTTTCCGATTACTTGATATTTCTTAATCTTTCCTCCTGCTGTGGTTGAATACCCACTTCAAAACTCAAGTTGACACTTAGTCCCCAGTTGGCAGTGTTGAGAGGTGAGACATTTAAGAGGTGATTGGGTCATGGGGGCTCTGCCCTCATGAATGGATTAACCCATTCATGGATTCATGGGTTGTTAAGGAAGTGGGACTTGTGACTTGACAAGAAGAGGAAGAAAGACCGGAGCTAGGATGCTCAGCCTCCTCACCTGTGACGCCCTGTGTTACCTTGGGACTCTGCAGAGAGTTCCCATCAGCAAGAAGGTGTTCACCAGATGCAACCCCCTTGACCTTGGACTTCTTAGCTTCCATAACTGTAAGAAATAAATTCCACTTCTTTATAAATTATCCAGTTTTAGATATTCTGTTATAATCAACAGACAACAAAGGCACCTACTGTCTATGGAGCTTAGCCTGCAAAGATATTGCAAAATCTAACCTTGTTTTGTGTATTGCTCCGAATGTCCTACTAGAAATCTTCCCTAGAAGCTTCCTTGTGCTCTCCTGAAGCAGTGGGCTGTGGGTATGGCATCTATGTTTGCCACCGCTTGTGGGTATTTTTGTGTGAACACTAGGGGCCAACCTTATGTTTAATGTACGTTAAATAGTAATCTGAATATCCATAGCAAAGCCACACCTGCAGCAGGTAAACTGCTACTATGTGGGAGTTGTCAAAATATTCTGTTAATAATTGATCATCATGTATTTATGACCACCGTTTCCCTTGGGCTGGGACTGAGTTACATCATGTCTATAAGAGAATTGGGAGACTTGGAACTATTCACAGTAGATACTACTATAGCCAACTCATTATGTCTTAAAAGCGAAGATTCCTGTTCTGTTCCCTGCCTGTGTTACGGTTTTCTGCTTCTGCTTTGGGAAGCTTTGCCAAGTGGTGATGACATAACTATGCACAGCTGGCCTGTCTCTTCACATCTGGGTCTCTGGGGAGCCAGCGATGCCTTTGCTGCAGCTCTTTTCACACCAGAAATAACAGCAACACAGCTGCAGTATTCCAGAATGGCAGACCGTGGGCCTAAACTGTGGCAGGCTTGGGTGAGCCAGCCTCGGGGGGTTAAGAGAGAGTCCTGTTCTACTTTCATCTTGTCACAAAAAAAAAAAAACCCTCTTTGATCTTGCTTTCTGTGAGATGCTTTAGCTGATAGTTCCTGAAAAGACCATGTACTTTCTAAGTGGACGCTTTCCTTTAATAGAGATGAGGGATAATGGGGTGTGAAGAATCTAAAAGTACAGGTGGGTTACAGCATCCTTTACTTTTCTCGGGTCCTCTCACAGAACCTAGCACAATGATAAGAACAGTGTGACTTGGGGGAAGGTGCTGACTTGGGGTTTGCTTCTCACACCGTGAGAAGGCTCTGATTTTCGCTTCCCTAAATCAAATGCCTTGGGTGTTTGCTACCTGCAAGGTACTGAGGACACAGAAATGAAAAAAGATATGAGTGGCAAACACACAAAAATGTGCAGTAGGTTGAGGGAATTGCTCTGCTGGATGTATGAGTGAATTCCTAGAGGTCACAGGATGGAGTAGCCGACTTTCCACAGAAGATGGATTTTTCAGAAGAGGTGGCTTTTGAATTGAAGCAATAATTTAGGAATTGGCTAGGTAGAAGAGGCAGGCATATTAGGGAAATATACACTGGCTGCTTTGTCTGAAACTCCAAAATCTCAGTAATTTCTCACCATAGAAGTTTGTTTCTCTGACAGTTCAATACAAACTCAGTGGCTTTTTCTAAGCAGTGACTTCAGGACCTACAATGTTTGTTTGGATTCTCCACTGTCTTGTCCTGATATCATGGAGGGGAAGAGAACATGGGGCTGGTGCACCAGGTACTAAAACACATGACATTTTCTGCTTACGTGTCATTGGCCAGAGCCTCCAGTCACATGACCAACCCAAGTACAAGGCAGGGGCGTGCAGAGAAGCATGTAGATATCAGAAGCATGCAGATATCAATGTGTACCAACTGTCTGTGGCACAGCAGGAGAGGCACATGGGCCTGGCCAGAAATGCCCAAGAGGCAGTTGGAAATCTGGGTTGAAGTTGGAGAAGACAGTGGGACCAGTGATTGAAATGTGGGGGTCAAGGGCATAAAGGTTGTATGTGAGGCCAGGGGAGGAGATACAATCAGCCACAAAACTGTATAGAGTGAGAAGAGAACAGGGTGGGGGAAAACCCAGGGAATGCTGGCATTGAAGCAGGCAGAAAGAAAGGTGGAAAGGTCAAAGCGTGACTTGCCCAACATCCTGTGAACTTAACCTCAGTCACGTGGGATCAGGGCTCTGAAAGCCTGGTCTGCTGCTGCCACATGGGTCCCACTATGGTCTATGACTGAACACACCATTTGTGTCCTCCTTGGACTCAGCTGCCACAGCCCTGGGGACTCTGGTTCTCTAAATGTGGAGGGCTCTGTAGAATCGTCTCTCTTCTGGGTTCTGAGGCCAGAGAAGCTCAGCTTAGAAGGCATTTTCTGTGTCAGTGATTATCTAAATGACCCTGTTTGCATCTCAGCTGGTCTGTCCTATGGGCCTCCTGAGTCAGAGAATGTCTTCTGGAGTTTTGTCAGTTACCCCTTCATCTATTCCTTGTCATGGGTTTTTGTCCCTGAAGGATTGGGTTTGGATATCTCTTGGAGGAAAGTGAACCAGATGGTGCCCAATCTCCCATCCTGGTGAACTCTGGATTGCATTTCATAACTCATTTGACTTGATAGAAGATTAATATGAATATTCATGTTTTGGTGAAAAAAATTAATGAGTCTATAGGATGCTCCCTCAGTCTCTGCTGGGTGTGTTAATATATGAGCTTTCTAAAATTTAAAAAAAAAAAAATCTGAATCCTGAAACTCATCTGGTCCCAAAAATTTGAGTTAAGGGATTGTCAAACTGCATATGGAGTTGCTGATAAATGAGCAGCCTTTTGCAGCCTCATAGTCTCTGGTATCTTCCCTGGGACACATGATCAGTTCCTGTTGCTCCAGAGCCCATCTTTACACACTGAGGAAATACAGTGAAGTGAGTGAGAATGCTGGCTGTAGGGATGGAGAGCATTTAAGCTCAGTATGTAGATTTCCAGGTTTCAGGGAAAGTTGGCCCTGCCCTCTGCACTTTGATGGGTTGGGACCTGCTGTAGTGAGAGGGAGGAACCACTGACACCACATCCCTCTAACACGTCTCGCCTCAGAGTCCTGGAGGAGCAGGAAGGGGCAGATGGGTAACTGGGAGATGGGGCCTGTGGAGGAGATTTGCAAATGCCTCATAGCTAATAGGGTGTGCGATACACAGGTGTCTTAAAAGATGCACCTCGCTTTTTCCCAGGGAGCCCTCCCCAGCATCACTGGCGTTCCTAGAAGTATTTGATGATTCCTGGAAAAGTTATCTTAAACTTGGTACCTTTCTGTCTCCAGTTGGCTCTAAACTACAAAGTTTATTTGAGTGATTTCCATTAAAATGCCTGTCCTGGTCTCTGTGGGTCACATGGGTGATATGTGGCTGTAAAACCAGACCCTTCCCTTTCTGCTGTCCGGAGAGTGGAAGGCAGAGTCTGAAGGCCAGGGATAGAAATGCTCAGTGGCAAATCTAGGGCTCTGGGAATGGTCATGCACAAAATAGTTTTGCTCAAGTAGTGTTACGTCTGCTGCTGGGATTGAAGAAGGCAGTGTTCAATTTATTCAGCAGAGAATAAGGAATCTATGTTTCTGCTTTAAAAACAAAACTCCAAATTCTTACTATTGAAGTTTGCTTCAAGCTCTTTGAGGAATATGCATGCTTAGGCCCCACAAACTTTATTTAATAGATTTAGCTGGTCCACAGGTCTGAGAAGGATATGGCTGGGGATTTGGTCCACATGCTGTTCTAGGATGGACGCTGCTGTTTTATGCTTTGCAGAGACCAATGTAGTTTGCTTTCTACAAGCCCTTTGGCACTCAAAAGCATTTGTTAATAGGAGGAGGTTTCTCATGTCTACCATAAATCTTTGACATTGAAGCAGAATTTCTTCAACAAGCAACGGAATAGAGCTCTGTAATTCAAAGTTATCAGTGAGTTGTAACTCCAGATCAGCAAGGCCAGTCCCCATAAACCAGCTGTGGCCAGAGCATCTTGGCAGTGCTCTCTCCACTGTCCTGGGGTAATGAGAGAAAAGATATTCAAGGGTGTGTTTATACACTGGGAATATATCTGGCCCTGAGAGGGCTGAGAGTCTTATAATGTTTGTATGGGTGCAGGATGGCACTTCTGAAAAGTCTGTCTGCTTTTGTCCAGGGAAGACATGGACTTTGTTTAAAAAAAAAAAAAAAGGAAAACCAAAACATTTCCCAAGAGGTGGGGCCCTGGATCACTGGAGTGACCCAGTGATAATGTTGCAGGGACAAGAGTTTGGTAGAGATGTGGGATCCACCAAACATTCCCCTGCCTGATGCCTCAGTACACACACACGCATGCACACACACACACACACACACACACACACACGCCCCTGTACACACATGCATGCATGTACACATGGATGTTTGTTTTTCCTTCCATTATCTGGTCTGTTTTAACACTTAGCTCCTGGAGTGACCCCATGCAAGGAGAATTTGGTTCTTTTTCCCTCTAGATTGCAATGAGAGAGGAGCTGGTAATTTTCTCACGCAGGTCTCCATATTTGCTTGCTATTTCT